GTCTGTCACGTGGCGTCGGTTTCATTCGGTTCGATCAGCGGATAGAGGCCGAGGAAGCCATAAGGAAGTTAAACGGAGTCATTCCTGCTAACGCAACGGAGCCCATCACTGTCAAGTTAGCAACCTCGCCCGCGAGTGCTCCTCACTCCTCCTCATCGATTGGAAACGAAGGACGGCACTCTATAAATGGACTGAACTATTTTGCAGACATTTCACCGGATATTGGGCCGAACGACGGAACACTTGTAGCAGCGATGTCTGCTAAGCCACAACAGGCAGCATTAACTATGTTTTTGCTCCAACAGGTCAGTAACATTTCTTTGGATATCGAGTAGCCTAAATTTGACATTCTTTACGTTAACCGGATCGAAAAAATACTGCGATAATTGATGAACTGATGAAGTTAGTTCTATGAAGTGGGTTTTGTGGATCAACCCTTTTGTTCAACTTTGAACAGCTTAATAGCGATTAAAATAATGACAAAGATGAGTTGTCATACTGTGCACGTGTTGATATGATTTGCATATGTGGTAAACTCCATTCCAGCGATGTGCTGCCGAAAACGTTGGAAAACTTTGCCGCTAGGGAAGCTGGTGTGACTGTCAAGCATGACACTTTTATGTGGAACATCACTAGCCAAAAATCCATAATTAGCTTGACATATGGTTGAGCAAACATTCAGGGCATACCCTTAACTGGGAAGGGAATAGTGTAGAATAGTTACCTTTTAGATACTTTGCTGTCCCAAATACTGATAACATAAGCTTATCTCTAACTAAATCAGAGGGAAGAATTTACGGTTACGAATAAGACCAGGGGAGTAAACTGATACTTATGTGTTGACCAAGTTGTATCGGATACTACAGTACAGTTTAACATTTGCTGAATCCTATTTAATGCTTTAAGAACGGAATGATAGTATCAATACTCGAGTTTAGTATGAAGGAAATCAACCCCGGTGACTGAATTGGAATGTCCTTTGAATTTGTCTATCCGCGTTAAGAAACATTCCATATACAATACAGCTTGTTATTTGCGATGTGCCTTGGATGTACTACAATCTGGCCCTCTACGACGTAACGTACATGGTGGATAATCTCGGACTGCCTTCAAATTTGTCTACCGTGTTCAACTGACAGTTGAGTAACAATGATTGGTTATTAAGCTATTTGGTGGGCTAGCTAGTTGATTGGTGATCATTAATTTGGGTATCACAGATCATGCATGTTCCAACTGCAAATGAATCTGCGGCTTTCCTATGTGGTGTTGCGCTTAGCTTGCGCAGTTAAGCTGGAGTTAGAATCACACATTTGCTCCTGCTGGATATATCGCATTTCATACGGTCGGAAAGCCAAAACCTTCCGGGTGACATGCATGGCATACATTTTGGAAGAAAAGATCTTACTGCTGATTTCGACGTAAAATCACAGAACAACGTTTTCAGACTACGCAGATGTTTTTGAATGATTTTACCGACTCCATTGGAATTCGGACCACTGCGTTTTTTAATGCTTCCATGTTAGCATGAGCAATCTGACGATATATTTTCTTTTCGGCTTCCCCCCAGCTTGTTCGTTAGACAGGTATCGAACTGAGTCCACAACCAGTCAACTTAATCACTCGATTTCGTTTCGAATTTCCACTGAATTTTATGAATGTTTAGCTCACTACCCGTGCATCTAGCTAAAAAGTCTTTTTACATTAGTAACATCACTATTTTTGGATTTTATTGTGTTGCACAGTTAGAGTCAACGAAGGGGGGACATGGAATAACGAATTCAATTAGAAGAACAACAATTTTTATAAATTGTCTTGGTTTAAAAACATTGTGGAAATTCCGCAGTGATATGGGACAATAGAAAGTTTTATGGACCTGGCATGGATGGTCTTGGTATTCGACGTCTTACCGACATTTCCCCCCTCATCTTTCAAAGATGCACCGGTATCCTCGATTCGGCCCTCCAGGTGCGTTGCTTCCCCATCCGTATCAGTATACCAGCTCCCGTTTACCAAGACAACCCTACCTTCCACGATCACTGAATCCATTCGCAAGGCGTTTCCTCGCCTCATCGTCTGCAGCGGCTGCCCTGGGGCATACAAACGTCAATCAAACTCTAGCTGCAAATCAGCAGAACCACGCCAGTCAGACATCGTCTAATCGGGGCTCCGCCAGACTACCACACCCTACGGGAAATGTTAGCGTTACCGCAGCCAGTTCCTTCCCAATTATGCCAACGCTGTTTCCAACACAACCGCACATGTTTCCCGCTCTATCACCCCACACAGCACCGTTATTGTATCAGCGCTGTAGGTAAGCTGTCTCCACAGGTTTTCCACACATGTGGAAACTAGTCTGGTGTAAACGTATCGTACCTTTTATTCCATTAGTCAATTCAACGCAACAGCATTTCTTCGCATTGATATTTGTGAATTATCAATGAAGTAAAAATTCCACTGTTGGAAGATGTTGTATAATTTATCTCGATGCGTTTTTGTTTTGTTCAGAGGTATTCCATTGCAATTAATCTGCAAGTAAAAAGGTCATTATTACAGCCTAAAATCTCAGATTCAGTAGAGTTTTGAAATACCTTCGACCGCATTAGACCATACTGCGTCGGCACAAACACTACCCACGTTTTTTTATCGCAGTAGAGAGAACCGGTGGAAGTTAAATGCTTTCGAAATAGGTACCAAAACAACCTAATTGGTCGCTGATCAAAATATCTCCATAGCATCCGGTGAAATCATATTTGACGGGAGTCGGCTGATTGGCTCTTCCGATTAGGAGACTGTTGTTAGAATGAGAAAACCTGTAAGACTATTGATGTGCTTACAGCTCATCAGATTTTGTAGGGCGTCAACTGGTAGACAGTAACTGATAAAAAGTAACGGCATTCAGCACCACCGTTTACTGATAAAAGATGCGAAATGAAAGTCGAAAACCGTCACCCATTCGGCTGTGTGTGAAGTCACGGGTGTAGTAACCACGCAGATGTCTGTGGCATAGTACAAAACTGTTGTTAACTGTTTTCGTTGTAGAGACAGTATACAGCTGATAAAGTGACGAAAATGCCCTATTCCCAGTAGAAAACTTGCAGTTCCATTTTTTGGTTGTGGTGACCAACTTTTGTTTGGACGAACTGGGCAAACTTGGAAGTGTAAACGGCAAGTTTCCACCGAGTAATGGGTGCTGTTGGCTTAACCCTAGTGATTGTAAACTCGATAATGCGGTTTCCTAGTAACCGATAAAAACAACACTGATTGTGACTCCGTGTAGCAATACTGCATTGATTTGAACCGGCGAAATTATTACGTGATCGTGTCCAGATTACACGGCAAGCTGTACGGTTGGAACTGACCACGCTATGAGCATCACTGGTAAGACTAGGGACAAACTGTTTTTGAATTCACACGAATGAGTTCAAATGATGCCTGCAGGCTCAGAATGAAAGCTGACAGGTTCAATATTTTCTCCCTCCTGTCATATCCATTTACAAATGTCTGGCATTGCTGAAACGCTTATGAATTTTTACACTATTTGGGAACTCGCTAAAATTCATATGCAAAAACACCTTAACAGTGGTTAGCCTTCGGGATGACAGAAGAGATTTCATGTGGACACTGAAAAACAGGTTGTAAAAATTCCCCTTATGTATCACAGTTTCCATTTCACAACATTACACGAGTGGGAAATTGCCAGTCCATTTATTGATCCGGAGTGCTAAAGCACAATACCAAAACTTGTAAGCAATGTTGCTGAGTAGAGCTATCATAAAACTAACCCTTGCAGGCCCGGTTGAAGATGGCGTTCCAAAGGAACGCAAAACCAACCGGATGTCTTATTTTGACATATGTTAAAGAGCGACAGTACTAGAATTCATGGTATTCCTATGGTTTTGAAGCAAACATTCACGTCTGTATGCAGAGCTCTTTCTGATTATTTATGCCATGATTTGGGAAATACTCTGAACAGAAATGGCGTCTGGGGTTCAGAGAAAAAGTAGCCAAAAAAGTGAAAACTTCGCATAATAGGCTGATTGGAGAGTTTTACAGCTCTCGCTATAAGACTGACAGATTAACACCGGTCATACATACATAAAATAACCTGCGGCTTGGTATCGAGTGGAATATTGATACTCCATGTTGTGCAGATAATTCTCGTCATTTTTTCTGAGCTAGACAATCTGATTAAAGGCGTTTCGCCATCAGCTGAGCTGAAAACATCAGTGGGCAGCAAGTTAGCACCGCGCCGACTTGCGTTGGCGCTTATGCCTTCAGCTACACACCGCAAACCTAGTAAACACTGATGACGTCGACCCGGATGTGGAACCTTTGCGACTAAATTGCACAGCTTATTCAAACCTCAGCCATATACTGGAGTTCCGCGTTCATTTGTAAAATCCAACGTTCATATTTCCAACTCAGTATATTGGCACTCAAGCAGGTAAACAAAACTGCACATGGGCGCTTTTGTGTTTATGAGCTCCGGTGATGGTACTGTGACAGTATTTAAAGATTTCAAATAGAGATTTCAGCTAGTAACCGAAGTTTATCCATGCAGAAAACCCAAATAGCACTGAATGACTGCTTCATCCCTGTTTGTAATAATCAGCAGTGTGCATCCCACAAAACTTCAGTGGGGGCGCCGAACCCATGACCTTTCGGTTTGTACACTTTATTGTTTGGTCTTGAACCTCCGGACACTCCGACAAATCTTGTATTGTGGGTTGAGGAGAAAGCATAATTAGCTCTGGACGTTTGGATCATTATGAATACCTTTGTACCCTATCGACCGAAATCGACTCTTAAACTGCAACATCTCTTCTCCGTGCGGCGGAAAAATTATAAATAAGGACTTATATTCAGACGTCGAATGGAAATGGAAAAGAGTTAATCGCTCATCACTGTGACGTGTTAAAACAACTTCCTTAGCACTTCCATTGAGAGATCGATAAAAATGGAGGCGCTAAACATAACATTGATTAGACATGTTTACTTTGAGGTTCAAAGATTCTTCGTCGCCTTAATCGGGCCTTCACCAAACAAATTTGATGACAAGATTGAATGGTAAAGTGAATCCAGTAGCTGTACAATAATCGTCATGCGAAAACACCAGAGTCGACTAGTTATTATGTTTTTCAAATCAGCTGAAGTTATATACACACTGTGTACACACATTAACAATGATGAAATGCTGCAGTCACAAGCTACGACGCTCCTACGTTAAAGATTCCAGAATGCTAACTGGCCCAAAGAAAATCGAAGAATCAACCCGCAGCCGAGAGGAAGATAGGGTTAAACTCTACTGTCTGTTCTACTACTTAGTATGAATAAGCTGACTACAGCAAGGTATAATATAGATTCCGGCCTTTCTTGTTTGTTCAAAAAACCTAAGGTTTTACCCCAATTCCACTCTAGTTTTACTGATTGGACACCGTAGTCTGTGTTTTCGAATAGCCCAGGTATCTAGCTCCGTAATTTGTTTCACTGTACCATTTTCAAACTTGCGTATGAAACCATCTGAATGCTGTTTATCCAGGATAAGACCTCAATATTTGGTATTTCGTCACAAGCCAACGTTCTTACACACAATGTCTGTGCTTTAGAATTTATCCACATTTATTTTCAGCAATGTCACGTTCTCATCACTATGATTTAAAACGAATTTTTAAATCTCTCTACTGCTTCCAAAATATTACAAGAATACTCGGAAACACAAGTGACCGACAGATTACGCAAGTCTTTTTACTTAAAAATTCATTGCAAAGGCAATCATTATCAGGGCAAATGATACCCATATCCATAGCTGAATCTACTACCTGATCAAGCTGAAAAATATTTGGACTCTACTATCCATAGAATTACCTTAGAGGTGTACTACCCAGGACTCTTGAAATAGAACGAGGTCTGCCATTTATTTCACTTTTGTAGTAAAAATATCCAAACGCTTGCAGTAAGTTGGCAAAGAACCATTCGAAGGTGACTGAGCTTTTGTCTTCAATCTACGCATTGCATAGGTCACTCGTCAAAATGCTTGATTCGTAGTATCATCTGAAGGAGAGAAAGTCGAAGAGTACCAGTACTGCAATTCAGTACATTTGTAGGTACATGTTGAGCTTGTAATCATTTTAGGTGTTATTTAGCCGCTGTGTCCGTTCATAGGCATTTACTGATTCTGAATACTGAAACACCATTCTGAACGGCGCTTTGAAGTATATACACTGGTACTGTTGTCTGCTTGGGTAATGGGTACACTGATGAACAAATGCTCGCGATACACTACAGCTCTACGGGCATATCAATTCAAAGGGTAAGGAGAAGAAAGAAATCCCAACGCTCTCCATGGACATAAAACATCTCAGACTCTTCCAGAGTCAACATTCACCGCTGATCCCAAACTTCGTGCAGCAGAAAAAGGGCTTAAGCTTATGCACTGAAGAGTCTGGAAATCCCTTGGATGCCAACTGATTCCACGTCATAATTTTATCTAGTCAGGCACACAAGTAGCAGTGGCATCGGTTACTTCAGGCTACCGTACTATTTGGTATTTGTAAACCATAAAACCCTAACTGGGTGACCTCTCACGTGTGACCTTTCATGTAAAATGTAGCTTTGGAGGAATAATTTTTTAACGTCATGTGAGACACCATATATTAAATACCTACGTTATCTCCTTTGGGCAGTCCGCGCAGCTGCACCTCTAAATAAAAGTGAATGTTGGTGGATAATTTTAGGGCGAATTGGAAGAGGTTTTTGCTGAAAATCATAACACGGTACGGTGAAGTTTGGTTCCCACACATGCTGTTTGAGATTGAAACAATACAAATAGTAGCCAAAACTGGGTAGGTGTTTGACATCCAGTACGAAAATGAAGACACAGCTCCAACCCTTAATTCAGCCAACCCCGTAGGAACTCCGCAACTTTCATATCCCACAGTTTTAATTTTTTTGTAGAAACCATTTACGTTAAAACGGAACCACTTAACTGACATTTGCTGACTTTGACATTGTTTCACCTGTGGTAATTTTGAAAGGGTGTATGGTCACTTTTATTCTGGCATGTCAGTTCGAGCAAGCACTCGATTTTTAGGCTTTCTTTTCTCTTTTACGTTTCTGAATGCAGCAGCACTAAATTTAGTAACGGTTAAAAACGTGGGATTTTTGCCATTTGATACAAAATAGGAATTCAATGCGTGAAATACACAACGACAAATCTTTTGTGATATAAATGAATGGCACTAAAGGCAAATAAGCGGAGCGGATACTTCCTAAAAATAACTTAGTAGTTATTGAAATGTACCAATGCGTCCCCTGTCCAGGGACGTTCGATGGACCGTGCATTTATTTTTGAGATAACATGGCTTATGTGTGTACTCGAACGTGTGTATCAAACGCAAG